CCTTTCTCTCTTTCCTTTCTAAGCCTGGTCCATCTATTATTCCTCCTAACTCCCTGGGCGTTTACACTTTAATAATATCATGCTCAATGTCCATAGGCTATACGGAGTAGTTCCACTTACTTGTGAGGACAAGTGGCATCCGTGATCTAGGGGTAACGTTCCCACCTCATGACTCAAGGTACGCGGGTTCAATCCCGGCGATCGTGGAATTTTTAAGGACGGAAAAATTCAGGGAACAAGTCCTCCGGGAGGGATTTTAAGCCGTCGGTCCCGTGTCGTAGATTTACGGCACGAAAAAGATCCTCATGTCTCTTTGAGACCTCTGAGCAAAATTAGGCAACAATTTCCCGCCCTAGTAGTTTCCAATGCCTCTCGTAGATGTGGGAAATATCAGGTACCGACGGCCGACCTCATTGGCTGAACGGGGCTGATAGCACGTACCAGTACCGGTAGGGTATGGCGACAGTATAAATTAAAAAGGGGGACGCACAATGGACCAATAACTTGTCTAAGTGTATGGGGAAACCCACCCCCACGAATAATAATACTTGTGAGGACGATACTGGCGCACACTACCAACCAACACCCTCTCGGCGTCATCTTTGTGATAGCCTTCGGCTCTCTCTCTCTCTCTCTCTGAGGTTTTTGCTGATCACGTCGTAACAATACTAACAGAGATTAAGGTTATCTCCTCCCTTTTGTGTCATATAATGATAGTGTTCATCCCTTTTTATATTTTCTTCCTGCTACTCACCGGCTTCCGGGTGCGTATACACCCCCCATCATGACGTGATTTTGGTTGGGGTGGCTAGCTCTCATTGGCTGACTGGCGAAGGGGGTTTGTGTTCCCTAGCCTACTACCTTCTCTGACTCAGCGATTTATTAGTGCCCCAGCTCCTTCCTGCTCTACTTTCTTTAACCTCTTCCTTGTCGTCAGCATTAGTAAGCTGACACTGTAACATTCTGGTTAGCTGGCTATTGCCTAACTGGTCTCACTACCTTCATAGCAATTACTGCTTTCTTGTGCATTTCATTTGTCTATTTCTTAACCTTAATTTCTAAAAACACCTATTCTTAACACTTTGCGGACCGCGCACCCTTTAAACAGTTTTTCGCTTATAAACATGGCGGACCGTTCGAGTGTTAACAGGTTTTTAAAACGCGATAAGTTGCAACACACTATACATCTCTCTGGCTCCATCTAGCTAGCAGCTGCCTGCAGCTGCGTTATAAGGCTCTGGAATGTCTGCTGACCAATCAGTTACTAGACCTCGCTGTAACTCTATGCCCCTGCAAAGGAAAATAGATGCCTTTATTTCTTCTAGCTTTACGTAGCAAGCTGCCAGTCAGTGTTTTGCCCTGAAGGCCGACCCCCGGTAACATGTTAAAGGAGCATCTAATTTTTATTTTAGGGGAAAATGTTGGCTAGAATAGAATAAGTATTTTGGGAAATACTGTAAGACGTACGAAAGAAGGGTTAAGAAACTTCAAAGATTTCTACGTATGGAGTTAGACGGACATTAGCCCGTGACGCGGTGATGACCAGTCAGCATAATGACGTTGAAGGTAAGAGTATATCGAAATGCCAGCTCTACAGAATCTACACTTTCGTGACGGCGGAACGTTTGCAGATAAAAGTGTTAGCCAAATGGACTAGCAGTAAGGGGGCGTGTCCACTCCCAAGGATCCCAGCCAACGAGAGATAGCCACTTGGCACAAGACGTCATTGTAGGCGGACTTGCACCCTCCGGGAAAGTAACGAGTTAGCGAAAATAAATGTATATAACCCGGAGAGCAAATTAGTAACGGGACGATTCAAAGAGTAATTTTGGCCAGTTGTCGCCGAAGGCTATGCTGGAAGAGGAATCGACTGGATGCCGGACGCCATCCGTCTGCAGTCTCAACGCAAAGTAAGTGGAACTACTCTTATCGCCAAGCTATTTAATTGTGATATTATTAAAGTGTAACCCCTCCAATGGGACATGAGTTAGGAACGTTACAACAAGTGTACAGGGCGTAAGAGTGATTCATCAGAGGGAGAAATGTGTAATATAGAGGCTACAGAGGGTGTGTCTAGATCGAGGGAAGATCGCTGCAGGCATGTGTAAAAGATATATATATATATATATATATACATGGATGAGTAGAATAGAGAAAAGAGGAGACTACCGACCCGCAACTGGGTGAAAGGAAGGCAAAGATGAGGGCCAGAGAATCGCCTAGAAAAGTATAATATGTAATACGACACCAGTCGGCTCTCTGTAATGTATATAGCTGTATATTGATTGTTTATAATCAATACAGGGTAGCATAGGGTGAGAATGTGGAGTTTGTTGATGTGATTTCCTTCCTTACCGCATTTCGCACCCGCACCCTCCTGACAAACCCTGTGAACTGCGCGCACCTAGCCAATGAAGCAACGGCCGAGGAAGTAATTTAACAGTTTTATTTCACCCCCCCCCCCTGTTACGGCAGTACAGTCAGTAGTTCGATATGGATCAAAGACCAAAGCGGTTGACACCCAAGCGATTTCTTGGAGAACAAGAAATATCTGACTTCTCCGATGTGCTATCTGACGTCCCTTGTGAGTCTGCTAGTGATAGCGACTCACAATCTGATAGTGAGTGTGGCAGAGGGCAAACAAAAAATTGTGACCACAGACAGTGAAAGTGAAAGTGACCATAGCTCCAACGAATGTGCGGGTAGCAACATTACGGGGACAGCCACATGGGGAAAAGTAGACAAGATGTCTGCTTTGGGACAGTTTACTGGAAATCCAGGGGTGAAGCAAATTCCATCAGACCCAATGCAAGTGTCTGAAGTAGCGGAACTGTTTTTTGGAGGTAGTGTCTTTGACATGCTATGTCAGGAAACTAAGAGATACTGTCTCCAACACCGTGAATATTATGGCAGAAGTTTTAAGGCGTTGAAGTGGGTGGATGTTACTTCAGCAGAAATGAGAAAAATTTTTGCAATTGTCTTTCTAATGGGTCATACAAGGAGGGATAATCTGAAAGAGTATTGGTCAACAGATCCATTTTTAGAAATTCCTTCGGCAAACTAATAAGCCGTAAGAGATTTGAGCAAATTTGGTAGTGTTTGCATTTCAATGATAATGAACTGCAACCACAATCAACAAGCAGGCTTTTCAAAATTCA